TGACTGGGTTGTCCCATATGTCAGAAATCGATCTTCATAGCTCTTTCCCATGTATAGTTTCGACGAATCTAAATAGAAAAAAAAGAAATAGCTATTTATAAAATATTTTTATACTTGCACTATTTGTTTGATATTGAACTAAAGGTAGAAAAATGTAAGATTTATAAAGACATATGTGAAACGATATATTCACTTTGAATACATTGCATCAATGGACCGAAATAAAAGGAAGGAAATAATCACAGAGAAAGTTTTGATACTTCCATTTCCATTTTGAATTTTTAATGGAAAGAAATAAAAGAAAAGATACAAATATATAAGTAAATCACCCTTATTTTCCATTAGCTGTGGCGACTGACCTAAATTAAAGACAAACTGAAATTATTTTTGAGATGTTATTACTTACATTATTTTGAGCTTATTTTCAACCAAATAAAGGAAGAATATAAATATATTGAAGCAAAAGGCCTACTTTAATTTGTTCTTTTGGGTGGATGTAAAAACAAACTTTTTTTCTGAATACCACAGCGAGTTTGGAATAAATCCTCAATCACCATAATATCTTTCAGATTGATTTAACTCAAAGTTTTTGTATGAAGTTGCTCACGTGAAGCCATCTGATTTTGATTTTTAAACAATGTGTGGATTGAAGTTTAGCTCGAAATGATTCAAAATTTATTAGAGAAATTAGCGCCTCTTTATCATACCGTTATCTTTTACAAAACAGGTACGAAATGAAAAGTGCATCGATGCATGAATGGCAGCATTGTGAGAAAATGATTGGATTAATTTGTTTATTATATTAAATTGTTTGAAGTGCCCTGTGAGAAATTTTCATGATATATATATATGTCAGTTGAAAAAGTGTAATCCTTTGAACGAAGAATAAAAGACCCTTTTGATGATGGAGTAGAACAATAAATCCCTCATCGTAGAATAAAATACCCTTAGTACGAAAGTAATAAACCCTATTCTCGAGACCGTAGAATAAAATACCCTTAGTACGAAAGTAATAAACCCTATTCTCGAGACCGTAGAATAAAATACCCTTAGTACGAAAGTAATAAACCCTTTTCTCGAAACCGCATATTAAAATACCCTTGGAGATAAAATCATATACCCTTCTCCCTAAATTTCAGATTAATAAACCCTTTTTTTTCTTGTATCATCTTTTTTTCATATACCCTTCGTTTCATAAACCCTTCAAGGGTTTAGCATGATTTGTAGAAAGGACAAGGGTTTATTATTCTACTCTTTTTATTTACAGTGCAGCCCATGAATAAATATATAGTAGTACAACACTATTTAGTTGGTACTGCTGATAAGTGGTTTCTTTATAATAATGTGAATATTCCTGATTGGTCTTCATTTAAGATTGCTATCACTCAAGCTTTTCAACCCGCATCTAATCGAACATTATCAGTGGTTGATCAACGGTCAATATCAGTACAAAATGCTAATTCATCATCAATATCATCCGAAACAACCCCAAATTCATCCTCCACATCTCAAGATAATTTTTCAGCAGTTACTGATCTCAGTGGATCAATTTCAAATAAACTTTCTCCACCAACCTCGGAAATCGAAAAATCTTCAATATTTAAACGAATAATAAAGGATGATCAACAATTAACTATTGTTGTTATGCCTGAACCCTCATCGCTTCATCAATTCGTAAACGAAATTAAAGATTCAATCGTTGTTAACATCCCAAATAATTCGTCCTCGATACTTACAAGTACTCAATTAACATGTTCATCTACACAGTAGCAATTGATAATCCTACTACATGTGAAGCTGAATTACAAGAACTACCTAATGATCAAGTTAATTCTTATTCGTCGAATGATGTTCGTGTAATTCTTAATGAACTTAGTTCTGTTACGGAATCAGAAAAAGTTAATACTCGAGTTAATAGTGAAAATGCTAATGTCGATATATATGGTTTTCGTGATGTCATATATCCAATGATATTAGGAAGATATCAGATTCAGAAGAATGCTGTTAATCTTACTTTCTCGATCAATCGTATTTATTTTCGTAACTGTTACATATGCCGAATGAAAATGAAAACTCTTAGATTATCCTTGGTACATTACAAATCGATCATACTCTTAGTTCGTGACATATACATCTACGTGAAAAAGAAAATTAAAGTATTAACATTAATTTTCTCATCTTATACCCTTTCAACCGTTTCATCTCCTATTTTTTTTCATTTATGAGCTCGTTATACGTTATTTTCTTACTTGTTAGTTTATTACTACATAGCCATTTTTTTTCTGTTTTTTGTACCGTTTCGTTAGTTGAGTGATTATCTGTGTAGTTTCGTGAACAGATAAATCCGTTCACTGGTAAAGGGCGGAGGTGTTAGGTAGCGGAGCTGTACTTGGTCCACTACCTTTCTTTTTCTTTTTCTTTCTCTTTCTCTTTCTCTTTCTCTTTCTCTTTCTCTTTCCTTCTTTCTTTCTTTCTTCCTTTCTTTTTTTCTTTCTTTCTTCTCTCTTCTTTACTTTCGTTTTCTCATCTTTCGTTTCTTTGTTTCTTCTTTTTCTCACGCGTACATCTCTATATATTCCTTTGTTTATGTTTGAAATAAACAGTTATGTATTTTCCACGTCTAGTCTAGATAGACTAACATTCATAATTTTATTTCATGAGATGCAAATTATTTTCGTATTTATCTCGACTCATACGCATTCTTGATGCATTTCTTCTTCTCTCTTCCTCTTCACGTTTAATTTTCAGTAAATTCAGTCTTCTGTCATTTTCCGGTGTTCTGAATTCAATATTTTGACGTTCAATTTTATGAGCTTCTGCTCTTCTTTTATTTTCTTCTATTTTAAATTCATTATTTCATCGTCCAATTTTATGAGAATTCGCTCATCTTCTATTGTCTAACAAGAGGAACTCATCATCAGTTCTTCTTTCTCTCATTCTCTCTGTCATCTCGGCATTTCTTTGAGATATAGATCTTCTTTTTGTCTTCGGCATTTTTTCCAACCAATTCAACAAGTTGTGCTTTTGATGAGACTGATTTTTCCGGACTATAGATAATGAAATAAGATGCGATGAAATTAGCTGTTGAAATTTCGAATAATCACAACTCCTCATGCAGATTAAGCGCGTATATATACTAAGCACAGCTTGTACTAAGTGAGAAACGTGTATATCTCTCAACTTGTTGAGATAAACAATGAATAAGTTTTTTTCGAGATAAATCTTCGTTAAAACTTGGTGAAGATACACTCGATACTAAGCAAGAAACTTTAGAAAATCAAAAACTTGACAATCTTTCTTAAACAAATAAAATCAATTTATATTTCTTTTAATAGTTTAAAAATAGTTATGATAATTAAAATCTAAAAAGTGAAACAGATTAATTTAAGATAAACTATGAGCAGTATACACAGATGGGAGAGGAGCTGTAATAGATTTTAGCATACCATCAATGAAAATATGCTTTTATTATTTAATAATGAGTGTGATTTGCATAACGTAAACAATTTTATTTAGAAATAGACATATATGCTAAATTAAATTCTCGTTCAGTATTATTTTATAGATTGTCTTTTATTTAGTTCAATCTATGAATTTAAAAGACGAATGATTGAAATATAGGTATTATATTAATGATTGAGAAATTATTTAGTGCTTTTAAATAAATCTAATTTATTGTAACAAGTAGATATAAGAAAATGTTTTTTATTTAGTACAAAATAAATTGTACTTAAAGAATTTCATCTTTATTACAACATGTTGTTTTACAATTTCTTTTTTTTAGTGGTTAATATATGTAATAAACGTCATAATAATATTGTTTGTTGTTATAAATCAAATGACGACTATAAATGATTTTCATTTATGTTTTTTCAAGACTTGGCGAAATAGTTCCGTACTAAAACGAGATATAGTTTAATTTAAATTAAGTAAAATATAGATTAAGTCATACATTGTTGATTTAAAGAGTTTCGATGAAATTTGTGTCTGTTGTTCATTGTTTTCTTTTTTTTTGGTATTTTCGGTAATTTTGAAATACTGCTAATGTTACGTTCCTCGATCTTAATATTCACAGGTTTTACACCACGTTGGGCTATAGAACAATGAAGTATTATTTATGTTAGGATTAAAGCAAAACAACTTACTTTTCATAATATCGAACTTACAGGTGTCTGCAACTAGAAATTGTTTTTGATGAATTTCATTAAGGATTGATGCTTCTCGAGCAAATATATCTCGAGATTCAATTTTATCTTTCCTAGATAATATATAAAATAAAATATCCACAATAAAACTAGTTTTTGATACACACCGTTTTATAAATGCACAATATTTCATCCGGTTCACAGTAACAACTGTTCCTTTTATACCTTTTTCTGAAAATAAAAATTCTTTTAAAATTTTTGAACTTTTAAAATATATTACCAAAAATAGCAGGTTCATTGCTACCAGGAATAATTGTTTGATTATTACCACGAATGGCTGCTCGATTATTACCTCGAATAACTGGTTTAGTACCAAGAATCACTGGTTCACAAACCGTTGAATCTGTATTTGTTTCTTCCATTGATTGATTGATTAGATTTGTTTTTGAATCTGAAATATTGATCGATAAGATATAAACCTGCATAATTTTATTTCATCAAAAATATTTTTAATAGATGAAGTTTGAGTTTTTCTTCAGAATGTGCAAACCATTCGACGATTTCTTTTTTCCTCTCATTCGTATGAATATGAGGGTGTGCACATTCTGAAGAAGTATCGAAGTTTATATTTAGATATAATGAGAATTGAACAGAGAAAATAATGAAGTCTGCTAATGATCAGTTTCAAATCGTTTTAGGAGGTTGATTCTGTTTTTGAATAAACAAGAAAAATAAGACACGAAAGAATATAGCAAAATTTATTAGAAGAAATTATTTAACCCATTGAACGAAACTATGATTATTTAGAAAGTGAGATATCTATATTTTCTGCTTGATGTTTATAGATGAGTTAAATAAATGAGTCGAACTACGAAAATTTTGTTTTACGAAATGAGAGATTTAAAATTTATTATAAAATAAAAATATTGTTGATTTATTAATTATGTTCAATTGAGCCCTACAATTTAATATCAGTTTTAGTTTCTAATGAATTTCTTAACGCTTCACCAACTGGTTTATTTATCGAATAAATTAATCACGCAATTACTTTGATGTGAATATCTGCTTGATCAATAGACAGACTTATATAAACAAAAGAAATCACTTAGTAAATAATCAATAGCCTTATCTTATTCAATAATAGATCATCAATACAACAGTGCATATCCTCGACATCAATTTTAGTTATCCTCTGTTTTGATAGAATGTTCTAATATCACGGACATTCTTCTATTTTATATAACTATATATATATATATATATATATATATATCGTTGAGCGTCCAAATATTTCTATTAGACTGATAAAAACAATGAAACATAATTCCCGACAGATTGATTTTGATCAAACTGTCTAAAAGAATCAACAAGCAGTGCCAGCAGTGCCAGTATGCATCAGTTTTTCATAGTTTTTTGGCACTGAGGTATTGAGGAAATTTCAAACACAGCATATTTACCTTTACAATTTAGCATCATTTTGTAGCCCATGAAATTCTCTATCGAATGGTATATAATAGTTCATTTTTCATTTTCACTATGACAAAGATTTTGATTTGCGAAAATTGGAATAGGTCAATATTTGCATAGAAAATAATGATATTTCTTGCTGTAACTCAGTAAATCCTCGACGAATTATTTTCATCTTCGAACTCGACCGAGATATTGATGATATAATGCTAAGTACAAAATTTCATGATAATCGGATCAGCCTTTCAGGAGTTATCGTGTAAACGGTCGGACACACTGACCGATTCTATAGTGTACTCACTTTTTTTTTTGAGTACACAAAAAGGATATTTATGATAAAATGGCATCTTTTCGAAGAATAATACTTCAAAACCGTTAACATTCATCATCAACAAAATATGTTATTGGTGTTTCACCCAAACCATATCTCAATCTTATTTCTAATCGATTTAATAAGCGTCAATGGAATTATCTTTCACTTGGTAAGATAATTTTCTAAAAATATTAAAAAATTCTTTTATGTTCTATTAACTTAGGTCCATCTTATATAAGAGTAAATCAAAGTGCTATTCGTCCAAAATGTCAACAAGAAACTGAAATAAAAAATCAACATAAAGATATTTATTCAAAAGTTGAAAATCATCTCACCGGACATCCTCATCTTATACCACGAAACAATCCAATTTTTAAACAATATTCAGATCATTTACTTGATTATCTTAATCAAAGCTATTTTACTCCATTATCATATAAAGATCAATTAATAAGTCGTGAACAAGCACAAATTCTTGGATCAATTCGACGAATAATTCAAAATATGAATCTTATTATTCGTGTCACTGATAAAGGAAATAATTTTTATATTGGTTCAGCTATTGAATTTGAAAAAAAAGCTCAAAAATTTTTCTCTGATACAAATGCTTTTATAGAATTATCTTCCAATCCATTCAATGAAATATTAGATAAAGTTATACAATTGCTAAATACACTTCGTGGAAAAAATTTTATTCGTAAATGGCAATATGAACAAATGATGCCTGATCGAACAAATTGTGAATTAGCTCATTTATATTTTAATCCTAAAACACATAAAGTAATTTTTCTTAAAGTTTTTATTAATATTTAATTTTTTATTTAATTTCTAATTTTTATAGGATGGCATACCAGTTCGACCTATTGAAAGTACAATTCATGCTTCAACTACAAAAATTTCAAAATTCTTAGACAAAATTTTACGACCAATATTTGATGATAAATGCAAAGATACAACTATTATTGATGGTGCTTCTTTAATTACTGAACTTTCAAAATATAACAAAAAAGGTCTCTTAAAGCCAACAACTCTTTTTTGTACATTTGATATTCGTAATTTATATACAATGTTACCACAAGAAGAAACATTAGATATTCTTATGACATTTCTTCATGCTCATGGTTATAGAAAAGTGAAAGGAATTAGTATTGATACAATAAAAAAATTAGCTTCAATTATTCTCAAAGATAATGTTTTTGCTTATGGAAAGAAAATTTATAAACAAACAACTGGTGGTGCTATGGGTTCATCATTGACATTAACTTTGGCTAATATTTTTATGTCGGAATGGCAAAAAAAACTAGTTGAAGAACAAACCAAGACAGGTGAATTTTATGGACGGTAAGTGACCAAAAATTTTAAAATAAAATTCTATCGATTATTTAATTTTTTTCTTTATAGATATATTGATGATATTTTTATGACTTGGAACAGATCTGAAGAAGAATTAAGAAAATTATTAGATGATGTGAATACATGGCATCCAAATATTAAATTAGATTATAAAATTGGAAAAAGTCTTCCATTTCTTGATGTACAACTTACAAATAATAATGGAATACTATCAACATCTGTCTATCATAAGCCTGCAGCTGAACCATACGTTACGCCATTTACATCTGATCATCCTCGACATGTTTTTTCAAATATTATCAAAACTTCTATTGAACGTGCAACAAGATATTCATCGACATTTGAAGCATTCAATTATGAACGACGTTACATTAAATTGATGTTACTATACAATGAGTAAGTCTCTATTTCATATTACACTAAAAACATTATTCTATTTCTATCGTACATTATTTAGTTATCCATCAACATTTATTGAAAATGAGTTTCACAAATATTTTTCGGAATATATATCAAAATCACCATTTCTACCATTAATTGATGACGAACATAAATATTTTCTTATGCGAAAAGAAATTTTAGGTCTACCAACACCTCGACAATCACAAGTGGCAATGAGTGCAGCACTGGCTGACATCGACAACGATCCACCAGATGATGATGAGAGACAACAACCAGACCAAAACAAAAAAAAACCTGAAGAAAAAATCTCAAATTATAATGAAAAATTCTTTACCCATTTTATCTATGAAAAACGTTTCGAAACATGCAAAAGAGATATGCATCAAGTATACAATCATGCATTTAAAGATACACCAGCAATTTACACAAAACAAATCGTCGGTAACCGCAACCGTCGTCAAGCACAAAATGAACTAATACGCAAACGACCAAACAAAACATTGTTACAAAACACAACAATAACCAAGAGTAAGACCAACAACAGAAACACAAAAAAAAATGATTTCTATAACTCCTTAATATAAAAACTTTAAAATCATTCCTTAACTTCTACTTAATAGAAAACCTCGAAAAACAGAACACGACCCTACGACAAACTACAACTATCGCCTAGCCTCCATCGACCAAATACAACGGCCATGCAAGTTTCTCTACTCAAGACGATCCATTCATAAAACAATGAAATCAAATCAACAAACATTTTCCAAAAAAAAAATCATATATGATCTATTCATACACCCTTCAAAATAAAATAAAATATATAAAACTGATTCGAAATATCATCAAATCAATTTTAAAATAAAGTTCTAAATTTCTTTTCTTTTCAGATACACCTCTACGTATAATTTCCAAAAACAAAAAAATACTTGTCATCGCCACATGCAAAAATGAACTCTACACACCACGCCGACTGTTCACACTACATTATATGGATAATATCATTATATATTATGATTTGTTTTTGATTTTTGTCAAAATTTTTTATAATATATAACAGTATATTTTAATCTTGTGATTTTTTATCATTTAGATTATTTACCAACTGATGATTCCCTTAAGCAAGGATGAAACTAGTCTTGGTAGCTTTACACACTACTGTATATGGATAATATCATTATATATTATGATTTATTTTTGATTTTTGTCGAAAATTTTTATAATATATAACAGTATATTTTAATCTTGTGATTTTTTATCATTTAGATTATTTACCAACTGATGATTCCCTTAAGCAAGGATGAAACTAGTCTTGGTAGCTTTACACACTACTGT